TTTTTCACGCAAGCAGGGGGACCAGGCATCTCGCTGCTGACCTGGTCTAACAAAGCTGGGCAGCGAGATGGGAAGCACTGAGAGACGTCTCAGTGTGTACCTGCTTCAACGGTTGAGCAAGCTGTTCCAATCCTCCTTTTTTGATTCCATGGTGGTTCATGATACTTCCCACAAACCCTTCCACTTTCTCACGCAGCTGAATTGTACAGAGGCTCGCCACCGCACACCTGTTGAAACTTTGTTCAACAATACGGTTTTCGCGGACTCATGCACCTTTCAGTTCCATCGCCTTCCTTCTCATCGTGGAAATTGAGTTAACTGAAAACCAATGTCAGAGTGTGTGTGTGTAAGTGTAAGTGTCGAAGTGTAAGTGTCGAAGTGTCAGTGTTCAAAGGATTTTCCGGAAGAACCCTTCGCAATGCTTTCGGGAAAAAGCTTGAAAGTTATATAGGTTGTGCACCCTTATGGGGGAAAGCAGCGGGGGACCGTCTTGACATTTTTTGTTCGCCAGCCCAATATAGCACTATATAGACTTCTCCGCCACAACATGTCAAGATCCAAGCCAAGGCACCTCTGTCATCGGTTTGCACCTTGTAGCGAATCCGTGAAGGGACCCCATCGGGAAAGGCGATGGGGTAGCCTTCTTGGTCAGCATCCTGCGATTTAGCCACGGAGTTGGCGAAGTATTCCGGGTTGTTGACAACGCCTTCCCGCTTGAAAATGGCAGCTTGCAAGGTAGTCAGGGGAAGCCATGTAAATGCGGGCAAATCTGGGTCAGCCACCAACATGCTCTCTGGCAAGGCATCACGCCGCGCCACAAACGAGTTGACGCACATCATGAAGCGTTCACGGGTTGCAGCCGTATGCTGGCCTTCCAGGTTCCTTTCCATAGCAATGATTCTGGCTGGGTGTCCATTGCCCAAGACGGAGAAGCTGACGTGCTGGGAAGCCTTGCCTTCATACGATGTAGATGTCCTGGCGGCACGCTTTGTCTTTCCCCTCGCAATCAGAGTGTTGAGTGTAGATGTGTGCGGGTTGACGCTCGTAGCTTTAGACTATTCACCTGGACAGCCAATGAGAGAGAGGTTCTCCAGCCATTCATAGGCTTCATCTAAATTGAACGCTTGGCCATACCACAGGCGCCGTCCCTCCTTTTCCTTTCTGGCGCCAAACTCCATCTGTGGGAATCGGTAGAACACCTGAAGAAAAATTCGCGGACTGCGAAAGGCACTCGCAACTCCCCCTCCGCGTTCGCCACCAATGTGGCCATATGCTCTTCAGCCATGGTAAGAACGCAAGCGTCGGCCATTTCCTGGACTGGCGCAACCGACATGAAAAAGAACAGCTGCGGCTAAAGCTGCGCGCAGCTTTATAATCAACCCACACACCTCACACAAGGGCGAAAAGGTATATCCAGAAAGCCAAGGCTCGTACAACATTTCGACCGCCTGAAACCAGCGACTCTTACCCTTCTGCGGGGGCGCAATGTGGAACATGAGCATGCTTAGCGGCGAAGGCTTTTGTGTCTAGAGTCTACAGCTGTATGGACGCGCCGTTCGTCAAGGCGGGCATCGCTGCGGCAAACATCATGGTGGTGGAGAAGAGCCCCTGGCAACTCGCCGCGCTAATGGGCAGCAAGTAGTCGTGGATGCATTTTGGCAAATGCTCTGGTGCAAAGTTGTCCTTCACAACAGCCAGCGCCTCGGACATGAGGCATGCAGCATCCTTGTCGGAGAGCTCATCAGCAGCTGGCATGACGCGGGCAAAATCGAAGCTGCGCGCGTCTTGTCTGAGAAATTTGCTGTGCCCGATATGTTCATTGCTTCGTCTGTCTTGCAGGCTCACGGCCCGAGTATACTAGCTTGAGATGCAAAGATGCCAGCAAGGAACACTCAGGAACACTCTAAGACCAACCGGGCTCATCAGGTTCAAACAAGCATGTCTGCCTGACTTGGTCATAAATCTCTATGAGTTGGCTGTTCCAGAAAGGGAGCACTATAGAGGTTGGTGGCATATATGTCAATGTTATAGCAGCACAATGCCTGAGTAACGGATGTCCGATCGGCGGATTGAGGTGGACGGAATGCCTTGGTGCAGTCCTAGCCTGGCTTTGGATGGTATACTCCATGCTTTCAGCGGTGGCCGGTGGCTGCATCGCCAGCGGAAAAGGGCGGACGCCAGCAGTGACAGACCTGGGAGACACATGAATAGAAATGTTGCATGGCCAACGGAAAAGGGCGGACGCGGCCAATGACAGACCTGGGAGACACATGACCAGCAGTGACAGACTTGGGAAACAAATGAATAGAACTGTTACGTGGCCAGCGGAAAGGGGCGGACACCACCAGTGACAGACCTGGGAGACACATGAATGAATAGAAACCAGCGGAAAAGGGCGGACACCAGCAGTGACAGACCTGCAAGACAAATGAATAGAAATGCTACATGGCCAGTGGAAATGGGCGGACACCAGCAGTGACACAAAGGGCGGACACATCTTAAGAAAGAATTGAGAACCCCTAACAGTAAACTGTTTGGGGAAAAATGGGAGACAAATGCAAGGAGTGGGAGACAAGCCGGCCGGAAACCCGACTACAAGCACCCAGCCTGGGAGACAAATGAAAAGAAGTGGAAGACAAATAAAAGGAAATGGAAGACAAATGCAAGGAAGTGGGAGACAAGCCAGCTGGGAACCGGACCGCAAGCACCCAGCCTGGGAGTCCTGGGAGACAAATATGAAAGGAAGTGGGAGACAAGCCAGCCGGGAACCCGACCACAATGAAAAGAACTGGCAGACAATTATAGAACTGGGAGACATGTGAAAAGAAGTGGGAGACAAGCCAGCCGGGAACCCGACCACAAGCGCCCAGCCTGGGAGACAAATGAAAAGAACTGGGAAACAAATGAAAACCTGGGAGACAAATGTAAAGAACTGGGAGACAAATGAAAGGAAGTGGGAGACAAGCCGGCCGGGAACCCGACCAGACCATCCAGCACCAAGGCGACCATTCTTTAAAGCATTGAGAACCCCCAACAGTAAACTGTTTGGGGAAAAATGTCTGCTACAGTGCTTCACAGGATGTATGACCAGATTTCCAAATCACCTTCAAGCCGTCTTGCCTCGCAGACCCAAGGGGCCGAAGACCAGGACGAAGGACCAAAGGACCATGACCAAAGGACCAGAGCACCAAGGGACCAAAGGGCCAAAAGACCAGAGGACCAAGCTTTTCTTCTTGGCTTTGTAGCGCGCTCAACTGTAGTCAAGAAGCGGGGCATGGCAGACAGGATTGTCCGGCTCGTTCTGACTCACTATGGAAAACGGGCGCGTGCAGGCCACTCTCACTCTCTTTTTTTGCATCCAGGAGTCAGAAGCCCTCAGCAGTGGCTAGCCCAGAGGTGGTGGCTGCAGCTTCCAAGGCCAGCAGCCAGCTGCAGTCAGGTCGCCAGCGGCCACTATGTTTCCCATTCCTGATTCAGCCAAGCGTCGGGAGGTTGTCCCTGGTGAACAGCGAGCTCTGCGGGGCAAGCTGCGCGGTGCGGTATTCCAACGCTGCTCTGTAGTTGAGTTCAACGTGACACTTGTGGTCCAGATTCACATTGGCGGGGGGGCACCAGAAGATCAGCTTGGTATCGAACACACGGAAGCTGAGAAACACAAAACCTGTCTAAAGTCATGGCAGGCTGCGTAAACACTTCTTGCCAGATTCCAGTGTGCTTCAGTCGCATGTGACGGGCCAGCATTTCCAAATTGAAAATGATCTTCCCACAAACCGCACAGTGCACCCGAAAATAAACAGAACAGGGGACCACCAGAGTGTGTATTTTATGTGTTTTTGCTGCCTACTTCCATCTATGCGCTATAAACTTCCCACTGTGGCCTGCATTCATGCTATGTGTCTGTGAAAGCTGCCTCAATGTCCTTTGCACCGGAAAACAAACACAAACAGGCTCGAGAAAATATAGAAAAACCAATAACAACCTAGGAAAGCCAAAAAACCCTTGGGAAAACCAAAAAATCAAAAAACAAAAAGAAACAACAAACAATTCTCAGAGACTCTTGGCTGGGCCCCCCCTTTATTCAAGACTTCCCCAGAATTGGTTCTTTTTTTTTGGCGAATTATTCCCCAAATAGTGCTCCGCACTAAGGGGTTCTTACGGTAAGAGTTAAGCGGGTTTTGATCAGGGTTCGCGCGTGTGGCCCCGGCATTTTGCGTGGGCCGGCTCGCGCACAAGTTACTTTTTGAATTCCTCATGTCCATTTCGACTGCGCAGGCTTGCATAAAGTGGTGGCCGCGCCTTTCGCGCTTCCGGGACAAAGCTCTCGTGCAGGTGCCGTGCTCGTTTTCGGACATGAAGTGCATTTTGCGTGGCAGGCGCAAGGAATTCGACACATTGGAGCCTCGAAAAGGTCATTTTACGTGGCAGGTGCAAGGAATCGGAGACTTTGCAAATTTCGTGGCAGGCGCAGTGTTTTGTGGACGTTGCAAAAACGTTGGCAGGCGTGTGTCATTCGCAGGATTGCGTTCCAGGGAATCCGCACCATGGATGCGATATTTTGAGGTGAAACGGCTGAATTCGTGAGAGGGGTCGCATTTTTGGAATTTGAACTTGAGGATGCTTTTGCGTGGCCAGTGCAGCATTTCGTATGACCTGCATGCAGGCGTGATTTCGTGGCAGGCGCAGCATTTCTGAAACGCATTTCAAAATGTGCGAAAGCCTCGTGCAATTTGCTCATTTTGGATCTCCGACGTGCAGATTGCGTGGCAGGCGCAGCGCTTTGTGAATCTCGATGTGCAGATTTCGTGGCAGGCGCAGCACTTTGTGAATCTCGATGTGCAGATTTCGTGGCAGGCGCAGCACTTTGTGAATCTCGATGCGCAGATTTCGTGGCAGTCGCAGCACTTTGTGAATCTCGATGTGCAGATTTCGTGGCAGGCGCAGCACTTTGTGAATCTCGATGTGCAGATTTCGTGGCAGGCGCAGCACTTTGTGAAGCTCGATGTGCAGATTTCGTGGCAGGCGCAGCGCTTGCTGAATCTGGAAGTGGAGATTTCGTGGCAGGCGCAGCACTTTGTGAATCTCGATGCGCAGATTTCGTAGCAGGCACAGCACTTTGTGAATCTCAATGTGCAGATTTCGTGGCAGGCGCAGTACTTTGTGAACCTCCATGTGCAGATTTCGTAGCAGGCGCGGTACATTGTGAACTTCGAAATGCTCCGATGTACTCGCCTATGTGCTCTCAGATTTGTGCTTGTATGTGCTCTCACATTTGTGCTCTCAGATGTGTGCTCTCATGTGCTCTCATATGTGCTCCCATATGCTCTCATATGTGTGCTCTCATTTGTGCTCGTGAATCTGCACTCTCACATTTGTGCTCTTGTATGTATCCTCTCATATTTGTGCTCTCATCTGTGTGCTCCTTCTTTCCTTCCACGTGATGCCATGTTCCATCTGTTCCTCTTTACACTATTTGGGGTCCCTTGCCGGTGTATGTTTTTTTAATTTGGTGGGGTTCTTTTGGTTTTTTGGTTTTCCCAAGGTTTTTTGGCTTTTCCTAGGTTGTTATTGGGTTTCTCAAGGCTTTTTGTTTTTTGTTTTCCTATTTAGGTCAATCTGTGTTCTTACTATTTCGTTCAACCTTCAAGTATGTGAGCCTAAGTCTCACCTCAAGGCATATGTTCTTTGCTCTTACAGTGAAAGCGTCTGAGCCCACCACTCCCTTTGTCCTTGCCGAAATCTCCATGTACAAGTCTGTGCATTAACTTCTGAGTGGTACCAATGTGGTTGCCAATTGCATGCCCAATCAGCTTGACATGAAACTGTAGTGACACCTTCCAATTTACATGAAATTGTTATGAATCTGTGTAAGCTGTAGTTCTAATTCAATGCC